AAAGAAGCCCAATCTCAGGTCAAGCAAGATCAAGGGACTCAATTCTCATCTGAATATGATATAAAATGGCAAAGTACAACAGCAGTGCTTGTAGAAATGTCAGGGGGAAGTAAGGGCATATCCTTATCTAAATGTTCAAGCACAGGACATAACAGATATTAGAAACTCCTCACTTGGTGGCCAAAAGGAAGGAATGGCCAGAGTCCCTAAAAGACATCAGCCTGCTGCATAATACAACTAAGCAAATGCTAATTCTATCAAGTATAAACTAAAGACCAACCATGTTTGACCTTCTAAATATAACAAGCCTATTGTGAAGTTTCTCTAAAATACCAAGATTTGAAAAGCCATATTGCACAAGTGAGATAGAAATAGCCTTCCTTTCTCAGTTCTCCTGGGAGCTACATCTTTGGTGGCAATTTGTAGTCTTCCCAGCCCTGGCACACATCTAGGAAAAGACATGGTTCTCAGGCAGAATACAAACAACACTAGCAGAGAGCAAAGCAAAGAGCATCCTGATCCCCTTTCTCCAAAACCTTTATAGGAGGAAAAAGACTCCCTGGCCTATATTCTTTAAGGATGAGTACTGTGTTCCTACACAGACAGCCAAAGTGCAGCTACCTCAACCCAAATGCAAACACAGGTGCTAGGCTCCAAGGCCTGTCTGAAACCTACATACAGGACTCCCAAAGCCCATAGCCCGGATCTGTGCCCAGAGACCCTGGGGCCTGGGGAGAGAATAGAGGAGTCTATTTCAGTCTCTGCTACTCAAAGGCCCAGTGACCAACTGGCCTTTTCCACTAGCAGAAAATGGCCCTAGGAAGAAGGCAAGGGCACTGTTAGAACACTAGGGTCAACTTTCCAGTAGCTTGGTTCCTCACGAAGAGGTCTACACCAGCTTTCTTCAGTGTCCCCTAAACCCCACATCAAGCTCCCCGTTACCAAAGTGCTTAGAATAAAAGCTTACTTTTAATAGACTGTGATCCTTGTAGGCTAAATCCAATAAAAAGAAAGAAGAAAAAAAAAACAATCAAGTACCTAATCATCTACACACAGGTATGCTTTGGTTTAAAAAAAAAAAAAAAGACGGAGCAGGAAGAGGCACAAAGAAGGGAAGGAAATATGGCAGGCACTTCTCACACACTGGTACATTCTTTCTAACGTGTCATAGGAGCAGTCTCTCTGGTTAGGCCATGATGTTCCCATTTGCCTCACAGGGCTGACAGGGATGGACCAATCACTGCCAGCCAGAGGGTCAGGGTGAAAAGCCAGGATTGGTCAACTCTCCGCTTTCCAGAGGGACCAAAAGGAAGTTCTGGGTGGCAGGCTCTGCATCCTTGTCAAAGTATCTGTACTTTACAGAGGAAGGTAGGGAACAAATAGCCCTATAACCACTTAATTATTAACTGTTTGCACATAACCTGTCTCCATTGGCTGTAGGCTGGTAATCTCTCATGTCCCCAAAAAGACAGGAGACAGTTACATGTACTGAGGAAGGACTTCCCAAAAAAACCATTTAAGGGCAAGCATTTTCAAAATTAAGAAATTTCATGAGAACTGAAGTAAAATTAGTTATGTTATTAGTTATGTATTAAATATGTTTCAAACTGCTAGCTCATCTCTGTGTCACCATCGACATTTTCCCTACCTTTCAGAAACAGTTATAAAACTTTCTTTCTTCACTCAAGGTCTGTAGGCACTAAGGCTCCATCTCACATGGTAGTCAAGACTCTGATGTGATCTCGTGGTCATTGGTTTTGTTTTGTTCTCATTAAATTGAGGTTAACGGCTTATATAAACCCAGGTAATTTATAATGCAAACACAGAAAAAATAAATATACAATACCACTGTGCAAAGACCATCAATTGTGATATTTCTAGAAAATTCTTTCTAGGCTGTTTCCTATGCATCTCATCCACAGATTTCATCTCTCTATTCACATAAGCACTCTCAGTCTCTCAGTCTCTCAGTCTCTCTCTCTCTCTCTCTCTCTCTCTCTCTCTCTCTCTCTCTCTCT